ACTTATGATTTAGTATTTCCTGGTAAACCTATTACAAATTCCCAGGCCTACTCATTTTCTTCCAGGCAATTATTTCACACCTTTTCTCTGCTCATCACATCAAGATATTCTTCCCCAACTCACCCTCAGTTAAAGGCTTCACTACCTATCTCATTGAGACAATAGAATTGGACAAAAGAGAACTTCCACAGCCCCAGGCTCTACCTGCATCTGTTATACTCTGCCTTCTCTTTTGCTACTATTGATAAATTGTCCACACTCTAATAAAACCACTTCCTCCTCCTGTGTACCACATCACATACTATATCTTACCTACTAAAGGATATTGTTCTAACAATTGTTTCCTCTCCCTCCTGTATTATCAGCTTTTCCTCTTTCTGATCATTCCCATTCATGACGTACACATGTAAATCTGACCCAAAAAATCCCCCCTTGACTCTACCTCCTCCTCTAGATACCACCCCATCTCTCTGCTACTCTTTAAAGCAAAACAACCACAGGTATCTAAACTCACCATCTCTCATCTCTCTCCTCCTATTTTCTCATAAGCCTACTCCTATGAAACAGATTTTATCAAGGTTACCAGCAATTGCCACATTGCTAAATCCAGTAATTAATTTGCAGTTGATTTCTCCTTTCATTTTTGAAATGTTCTCTTAATTTAGCTTTCATTTAGTGCCTTCATTTACTTTCTGCCTCAATGATTGGTCCTTAGTTTCTTCTACTGGTTTTTTTTCATTTCTCCAGCCTCTAAATGTTAGACTACCTCAGGTCTTACGACTTCAAATTGCTTTTCTTCTTCGTCTACATTCACTCCAATCTCATGGCTTTAAATGCCCTCCACATTTGAGTATTAACTCCCAAATATCTTTAGGTGGGACCTCTCCCCTGAATTCCACAATCATATAACCAACAGTCTAAAACCTACTCCTCTCATATTCTACCCTGTTTAGGTATACGACAGTTTCATTCTTCTAGTTGCTCAAGTGAAACAGCCTGAATCCCAGATTCTTTCTCTAGCCCTATAAATCCAATCCAATCCATCAATAATCCTGTTGGTTCTATTTTCAAAATATACTCAGAATCTACCCTTTTATGATCCTCTCTACTACTATCACCCCAGGCAAGCTACATGGTATTATTGTACTAGCCTCCTTTTTTTTTTTTTTTTTAGCTGAGCCATCCTGCCACCTGTTGGCAGCTCAGCGGCAGCTCAGCTCAGGCAGGGCATTGAACCGCTGTTGCTCAGAGCTCACACTCTTGAGCAAGCTCTTAACCAACTGAGCCACTCGGCCGGCCCCTGTACTAGCCTCTTAATTGTCTCCCTGCTTCTTGCCTTGCCCCTTACAGTCTCTGTTCAACAGAGTAGTGATCCTTTTAAAAGGTTAAACCATGTCACTCCTGTGCTCAAAACCCAATGGCTTTCAGACTCACTCACATTGAAGCTAAAGTTTTTACCATGACCTACAAGGCTCCAGATCAGTGCTTCTCCAACTTAAATGTGCATCTGAATTACCTGGAGATTTTAAAAAACAAATTTTCTGATTTCATAGTTCTGGGCTGCGAACTTCATCCTGCATTTCTAATATGCTCCTAAATCCTGATACTAATGCTGCTGGTCTTGAAGACCACACTTTGAGTAACAAGAATCTAAAATAATCTGCACCACTTCCCACCTGACCTTTTTATTCCTAGCTTACTCCACTCCAACCATATTGGCATTTTCCCACCTTAGTGACTTGGCACTGGCTTTTCTGTCTCTTTGTCCCTTCCTTGAGAATCTGCATAGGTCACTCCCTCACTTTTAAATGACACCTATCAGCAAGCCTTCTCTGATCATCAAACATAAAATGCCAGTCCCCACCCTGGCACACTGTATCTTTTATCTTGCTTTATTTTTCTTGTTGGCATTTATAACCATTTGACATACTCCATATTTATTTATTATTTATTGACAGCCTTGAGAGAACTTTGTCATCTTGTCTGTTTTGTTTCCTACTGTGTTTCCCCAAAAATAAGACCTAGCCAGAGAAGAAGCCCTAGCATGATTCCTCTAGAATATGGACGGCATGCACCCCTCACATGAGGGTTTTATGACCTGTTTCAGGGAGAAGGGTGCCTTTTCCACAAACTCCTTCAGGTTAAAATATTCAGTATGCCAAGGTGCCATGTTTTGGTACCTAAAATCATGCGAGGGCTTATTTTCTGGCTAGGTCTTATTTTTTGGGAAATAGCGTATTGTATCACCAGTGCCTGGCACATAGCATATTGTCAGTACATACTTGTTGAAAATTAAATTATTTGATCTTGTATATTTACAGAACTTGTATGTAGGGTTCTAAACACCAAAAGCAATGTAAAAAGGGACTCTTAAAGAGAGAAATCATCTGTTTAGAAAAATAATGCATTATAATAACTGAAGAACAGTTTAGTATAGTGTGTAGCATGTGCAATTGGTGACACATATATCCACCTACCCAATATAGAGACAATAGTTTATCTGTGGACACTGTTGGTTGGCCACCCATCAGTCGACCTCCACACACCACTTATTTCTTGTTAACCAAATGATGATATGTCCAGGTTTAGGAAGGCTCCTAAGTAATAACTGGGATCAATTTAGCCAATCTGGATCATTACATTTCCCTTACTAGTAATTAGTTAGTTAAATAGTACATGATTCAATTCTGGCTAAATCTGTTGGGATGCTTCTGGTAAAATTTTTAAAGAGAAAGAATAAAAAGCACAAGATAGAAAAATCCCCTTTTCTACCTCTGGACATCAGAGCAAAGAACTGCCACCTGGCAACCATGATGAGAATGCCAAGAGGAGATAAGACGAATTATATTCAAGCTGCTGTATTAACCAACTCTTCTTGTAGGAGACAGTAAATGAAATAGATTATTATTCCTACTTTTACATATGAGGAAACTGAGGCACAGAGAGAATAAGTAACGTGTCCAAGGTCAGAGTGGTAGAGCCAGGATTCAAATCCAGGCAGCTTGGCTCCACAGTCTTAATCTCTACTTTGTGTACCTCTCCAAAGCAATCTAACTGATACAAAAACACCTCTAGTAAGTATAGTGACATTATGGAGTCTTGTTTGATAATGCATAAATTATTCTTGGTCATCTATAGGTTTCAATGGATAACTGCACTGCACATATATTGTACAGTGTTGCAGCTATACATACTCGTATATATTGATTTCCCCCCCATTATTGCACTCATGGAAACAAGAGTTCTAGAATCTAAGTGTTACTTGAAACAGGTCAGGTAAACTCCCAGACATTTGGAGAAAGCTATCTTCTCCAATAACTCTTAAATCCACCAGGATTTTATTTTGGCATATAGTAGGAGATAAAGGTCTAAAATAATTTTTCCCCATATACACCAAGATTAATTATTGAATAATCGAGATAAGGTGGTCAATGAGTGCACTCTTCCTGTAATGCATCCCATGCAATGCTAGGGAGAAAACAACAGGGAATAAGAAAAACATGTTCCTCGCCCTCATGGCGCTTAGTGATGTAGTGGAACAGACAGAAAATATAATTTACATGTGGGATGGTTGTTTTGAAATGCTAGGCACAGTGGCAGCTATGCAGTCTTACCTCTAAGCTGTGATGGAAGATTTCTGATGGACAGTACCTCTTGCACAACATATTGATTCACCCCTCCACTTTTCAACAATTCCTCTGGGGTTAAGGGCAGATGAAAATCATAAAGTTGGGGAGACATCCTTCTCCTACTGGCTCACAGGGCTGGAAATCAAACAGCAAATAGGTCAGGATGTGTATCTAAGGGCTGTCTTTTCTTCTGGTTCTATTATCCCCCACTCCCTCCAATATATAATGAATTTTAGTCTTACATCAAACTGATGACATATCTTAGAGGATGTGACCTCAACTCTAGACTAGAATCTAATTTTAGTCATGATTCTACCACTTGGTCATGTCACTTAACCCTCTGGGCAGCATCTGTACAACAGGGTTATTAGTCTCTGATCAGAGTTGCTCTGCTTTTCAAAGGAACCAAGGGCCATCAAAGTGTTTAAAGAACTTTAAAGTGGCATATCAATGCGTTATGTTTGCATTATTATTTCCGTTTTTATGGGCAAAGCTTCTAAGTAGAATGTCTCACCTGAGGCCAGAACAGTGGCCTGGCATGGGCTAGTGGGTTTCCTAGCTCCAGAATGGGAGAGCATTAACATTACCTGTTTTCTGTGTGCCAGGTTCTGTTAGGCTATTTGAATAGATTATATCTGATCTAATTTTCCAATCTCATGGAGTGATAAATACAGCCCAATTTACAGATGAGGACATTGAGGCTAAGAAAGCTTAAGCGATCTGCCCAAATTCCACTGCGGATGTGTCAGACTGTTTCTACCACATCGTACCCCAAAGATATGCCCACTACACCTCCTCGCCTCTCGTAGGCTGCCTGTATTACCCCGTACCCGATTTTCCCAGCCTTCCATTCCCCGCTATCCATTAACACCACACTTTGCCGGAGAACCTCACCTGCCGTTCCTCGGACTTCGGTTGCGGGGCTGAAATGAAGGCAAAAACAGGGCGTGCACAATACGCGCCAATCAGAGAGGCAGTGCTCAAGAAGGCAGAGAAATCTGCCAATCGCGAGCAGGCGGAGGCAAAGACCTGCCACTGAGCCAGGGTCCGCGCGGGCAAAGCCACAAACGTGGAGTTCAAATCGCAACGGTCGAAAGGGAACCAATCGCGACGCTCTCTGCAGAGACCGGCCAATCACAGCGCAGGAACGGGAAAGCCTGGCAGGGCCTAGGAGGGGCGGGGCCTAGAGTCAGGCTCCCGCTCCCCGCGCCCCTCGTCCGGCGGTTTGTCACTTCCCTTCAGGTCCTTTGTCCGGGTCGGTGGGGAGGAGACGCCGGTAGTACCTACCAGAGATGCCGCATTTCTGGCTGGGCAGCGGTAGTGTTCCTAGGGTAGTGACCTACTCAGTCAGCCCCAGGACAGGAGGCAAGTCCAGGCCGGGATTTAGGTTCAGGCTTTAATCCAGGTTTCACCATTTCCTCTGCTATGTGACGTCCAGCAGGTCACTTCACTCTCTGAACCTCGGATTCACCTCCCTTGTAAAATAGGGGTAATAGAAACAGCGACAGCGCAAAATTGTTGTGAGGCACAGAGAAAGGAAACGCTGGGTTCCAGGATCTGGATCTTCATCTCCCTCACAGTTGAGGAACGGCCAAGGAAACAGTGAATTTTCTTGAAACTCAGTTTTGGGATGCCTTAGACAATGATGAAATGAGCCCCTCTGCTTTTCTGGCGCTTGAAGACTTCCGGCCCGCAGACCGGAAGCACCTAGGCGGGGCAGTGTATGTGTGTATCTGTGTGTGTGTCAAGGCCACCGTGCACAGGAACCCGGAAGGCGGGGCTTGTGGTTGGGGATGGTGGAGCCTAGGCGGGCCCTGCGCCCAGAGCTCTGTGGGTAAGGCCCAAGATGGCTGCGTCCACTTAATACCCGTGTGAGGCCAGCACGGACGTTTCCTGTCATCTCCTGGGAGCCCACGTCTGGCCCTCACTCTGTGCTACTGCGGTGTGCTGTTGTAGGGGAGAGACTAGAACAATGGCAGGCAGCCTCGCTGCGGGGGCAGGCAGGCACCTCTGGGGCTGGGTGCCCCGGGCCTGCAGAAGCTTTTCTTTGGGTAAGTGGTGGACGTAGAAAGACACATCTCAGGAGAACAGCTTATCTATAAGCGGCTCAGATTCAGACCCTCTCTTCTCCATCCCTAGGTGTTCCTGGATTGTTACACGTAAGACCCACCCTTCCGCCCCCCAAAGTAGTTGATCGTTGGGACGAGAAGAGGGCCATGTTCGGGGTGTATGATAACATCGGGATCCTGGGTAAGACTCGATTCCGTGGTACATAATTTAAGAATGGCAATTATGCCGTGATAGCACCTTTTTTTTCACCTGTGTAGGAATGGTACCATGCTCAATAGTAAGAGCACTTATGTGGCTTATTTATGTTGTGTTGGCCACCGACCTAAGTGCTGTGTATTAACTCATTTAATCATAGTAACCTTTTCACTTTACAGGTGATGAAACTGAGGCACAGAGAGGTTAAGTAATTTTGCCAAAGCTAGTAAATGGCAATGTTGGCATTTGAACCCCAAGCAGTCTGGCTCCAGAGTCTGTGCTCTTGATACTGTAGTGTAATGTGTCTTGTCTATAGGTGCTGCTCAGAAATGTGCAACTGTGCTGAAGGCTTAGCTGGTCGAGGCTGGGTTTTCTGGGCTAATACATGCTCTCACATTACACAGGGAATTTTGAAAAGCACCCCAAAGAACTAATCAGGGGCCCCAGATGGCTTCGAGGCTGGAAGGGGAATGAATTGCAGCGTTGTATCCGGAAGAAGAAAATGGTTGGAAATCGGATGTTCATTGATGACCTGCACAACCTTAACAAACGCATCAGCTATCTCTACAAACACTTTAACCGACATGGAAAGTACCGGTAGATGAGAAAGCTGGGGATTGTGGAAGAGACACATCTATCACCCGGGACAAGGGGAGTAGTACTTTTCCTTATGTGTAAAGGGATTTGTATGCTCTCCATAATAAAATGGGGCTTCTTTGGAATCTGTTATCCATATACTTTATTTTCCTTTAGATGCTACTTTTATTCATTCATGTAGACTATGAAGTCTGACTCATTCCTAAGTCTTAACAGTCTTGGGTTTGGACTTCACCACTTGCCCTTTGCAGTCTAGACATACGTATGGCCTTTAAAAAAAGAAACATTATTGTTGGCACTTTTTGATATTGGGGTTTCATGTATTGAAAATGGTAATTTTTAAGTGCCCCATAATGCTAAATGTTAAATGTATTTTAAAACACCCTCCCACATTGGAATGAAATATAACAGAAAAATGGAATTATACTTCTGTACTATTCTCATAAAAAATATTGGGTACCTTTTCTGAGCTGAGAACTGTAGGAAAAAAAGTGTCATACATTCTTCCCCCGCCCATGTGCTTTTCTAGTGAGGGATATAAAATTATAGTCTCACATGTACACTTTAATATGAGGCATTAAGTACCATATTAATGGTTTGTATCGGTGGTTCCAAAGCCTGATTGATCATCAGAATCATGGTAGTTTAACAATTTCAAAAGCCTGGCTCCGGGCCGGCCGAGTGGCGCGATGGTTGGGAGCTCGCTTGGGATGCCAGAGGGCCCCGGTTCGGATCCCACATATGAGGGCCAGTGACACTGCCCTCCACAGCTGAGATGCTGAACAACAGCTCAACCTGGAGCTGGGCTGCCATGAGTCGCCGGCGACGGCGTGGGCTGCAGCCCCTGTGGCAGTGGGTTGCCATGGGCTACCGTATGTAGCCAGCAGCCAGCGTGAGCGGCCAGCAGCCGCAGTGAGCGGCCGTCCAGAAGCCGGCGACTGATCTGCCTCGCCCGGGAAGAGCGCAATGATGGTGCCAACTTGGGCCAGTGAAGTAACGTCCTCCACAACTAGATTGAAGAACAAAACGACAGCAACTTGTCTGTTCCCCTTCCCCCAATTCCCCAGCACTGTTCCCATCCCCCCAATTCCCCAATAAAAAATTTAAAAAAATCTTTAAAAAAAAAAAAAAAGCCTGGCTCCTGTCCCCAAAGATCTGTGATTTGTAGAGCTGAGCTGAATCTATGCCTCTCTCTCTCTCTCTCTCTCTCTCATTCTCTCTTTTAATAATTACAAAATATATATCCATACATACAATGCAAGTTTCAAAATTACAAAAGGGTAATCAGATGAAAAGTTTTCTCACAGCCTTTTAGTGTATGTTCCTTCAGAGGCAATTACTTTTTTTTTTTTAATGAGATGTTAGCACTCCATCAAAGGCTAGAAACATTTTATTTATTTATTTATTGGGGAACAGTGTGTATTTCCAGGACCCATCAGCTCCAAGTCAAGTAGTTGTTTCAATCTAGTTGTGGAGGGTGCAACTCAATGGCCCATGTGGGGATCGAACTGGCAACCTTCGTGTTATGAGCACTGTGCTCTAACCAGCTCAGCTAACCAGCTGCCCCGAGGCAACCACTCTTATAAGATTCATTTTTACTCCTTTGGGACATATACTATGTACGTACAAGTTTATATTAAAAATTATATATCTTAAAAAAATCGGATTCCATACACACGGTTCTGTACCTTGCTTTTTCACTTATAACTTGGATATTATTTTATATCCTCACATTATGTACCATAATGATTTAACCAGTTCCATTTTGACAGACATTTAGATTGTTTCTAGGCTTTTGCTTTTTCAAAGTATGATTACCTAATTTTAGGTAATTATAATTTTAAAAGCCCTTAGGTGATTTTAATTAGCCAGGTTAGGACACCATTGATGTGAACAATAAGTGACCTAGATAAGAATGTATTTGGCTTAATTGGGAGAGGCTTCATAGAAGACACTGGATTTCAGTAAGGAGAGAAAAAAGTGGTAGAACATTTTAAGGGGGGAAGAGAAGAGTGATCAGTGGTGCATGGTGAGAGAACATAGTATGTGCTAGAAGTTGGCGAGGTAGGTCTAGCTATGAAAACGTATGCCACTATCTGCTTTTAATAATTTACTTGGCTGTAAATCACATTAAATAAGCTTGGCATTTCTCAACTGAGAGGAGAAAAATGTTGCTACAGTTTCTAGAATCATGTACTGACTAGGATTAAATTTAGGATGCCTCTAGTGCCTAGAATAGTGAGACTGTCACTAAATATTTGCAGAATGAAATAAGGAAAGTATTTGATGTGTTGCTTTTAAAGAAATCTTTTATGTGGATTAAAAATGCTATTTGTGTTCCCTAGGAGGATTTTTAGGTTGATATTGGAAAGTCTCTGGTATAGACTATTAAATCAATAGTCTATATTGATGGCCTTTGGAGTCAGATGAGTCTGGGTTTAAATTCAAGTTTTACCACTCTATTCATATAAGCCTTAGTTTTTTTTCGCCTGTCATGTAGGAATAATACAATACTTATAAGGTTGTGTGAGGAATAAATGAAATTATGAATGTAAAATACTTAGTTGAGTTTTGCAAGTATAAATGGTAATGACACTCCTCTGGAATGTGTGTAGTTGTCAAGAATTAGAAAAACCTGAAGAAATGAATGAAAATGTTTTAAAAATTATTTTAACTTTTTATTTATAAAAGTATTATAGTATTGCAAACTAAAGAAAATGAATTACTTAACAGATACAAGTTGGATTTGAAGGTAGAGGGATTAGGATTAGGTCTCTTATCTGATCCAGATCCTTTCAAATAGATACTTGTTTCAATTATCTGTTGTTATATAACAATCCACCCCAAAACTTAGTGACTGAAAACAAAAATTTATTAATTCATATTCTCTAGGTTATCTGGGCTTGACAGGGTTATTTTCCATTTGGTGTGGGCTGGAGTCAGTCATGTTGCATTCAGCTGGGAGCTTGGCTAGAGCTAGAATGTCCCAGATGGCTTCACTGACATGTCTGGTGCCTTAGTTGGGGTGGCTGAGATTCTTTTTTTACATGGTCTCATTATTCTGTAGTCTAACCCAAACTTCTTTACATGGAGGCTTGATCCCAAAGTTAAAAATTAAAGTTACAAGGCTTGATAGACATGGGTAAGAAGTCACATGGTGTCACTTATGCCACATTCTACTGGTCAAAGAAAGTCACAGGCCAGCACATACTCAAGGCTATGAGGAAATGCACTCCATTTTTGGATTGGAGGGAGCATGCAATTGCAGGGACATGATGAAGTATCAACAGCCACATTTCAGTCTAACCTCAGTAACATTTTATGTCTTTGTTGGGACTTTATCTTCTGGTAGGCTAAACAGAAATAACACTAGATTAATAAGTAGTTGTTAAATTAAGTGATAAGTAGGTTTTGGACAAATGGATTAATGGGTATACGAGGTAAGACAATTAACTTTGTGAACTTGTTGCAACGATGTTGCTAACCTTTTTTGATATCAGAGGGATTATTCGTTATGAATTTGTACCAACTGGACAAATAGTTAACCAAGTTTACTATTTGGAAGTGCTGAAAAGGCTGCATGAAAAGTTAGACGAAACGACCTGAATTTTTTGCCAATTCATGGCTCTTACATCACGACAATGCACCAGCTCACACAGCACTGTCTGTGAGGGAGTTTTTAGCCCGTAAACAAATAATTGTATTGGAACACCCTCCCTACTCACCTGATCTGGCCCCCAATGACTCCTTTCTTTACCTGAAGATAAAGGGAATATCGAAAGGAAGACATTTTGATGACATTCAGGACATCAAGGGTAATATGACGACAGCTCTGATGGCCTTTCCAGAAAAAAGAGTTCCAAAATTGCTTTGAAAGGTGGACTAGGCGCTGGCATCGATGCATAGCTTCCCAAGGGGAGTACTTCGAAGGTGACCGTAGTGATATTCAGCAATGAGGTATGTAGCACTTTTTCTGAGTTTTTTTATTGGGGAATTGGGGGATGGGAACAGCACTGGGGAATTGTGGGGAGGGGAACAGACAAGTTGCTCTCCTTTTTTTGTTGTTCAGTCTAGTTGTGGAGGATGTTGCTTCACTGGCCCAAGTTGGCACCATCATTGTGTTCTTCCTGGGAAAGGCAGATCAGTCACCGGCTTCTGGACGGCCGCTCACAGCAGCTGCTGGCTGCTGACGCTGGCTGCTGGCTACACACTGTAGCCCATGGCAACCCACTGCAGCAGGGGCTGCAGCCTATGCTGTCACCGGTGACTCATGGCGACCCAGCTCCAGGTTGAGCTGTTGTTCAGCATCTTAGCTGTAAGAGGGCAGTGTCACTGGCCCTCATATGTGGGATCCGAACCGGGGCCCTCTGGCGTCCCAAGCCAGCTCTTAACCAACATGCCACTTGGCCGGCCCCTGTAGCACTTTTTCTAGGTTGGGTTCATGAACTTAATTGTCCAACCTCGTATGTGAATGTATATTATGATCCTGAGTCTTATGGAAATGCATATATGAGAGTGTCAGGGCTCATATGGGAGTGACTTTTCAAATGGATGGCTGGAGAAGAGCTGGATATTTAAGAATGGAGTGGTTGGTGTGAAGTACGAATGGCTCTGGGATACTTTACGTGATTTGGTGGAACTGGAGAGAATATCAAGTATTTGAGATTGCTAAGTGCAAGTGCTCTGAAGAATATATATACATGTTTTGGTAGAATATGTGATTATTGGTGAAGAGGAAATTGATAGTTCAGTTCAACTGGGCATTTATAGAATGCATCCTGCTGTGAAAATACAAAAGGTTTTGTTTTCAAGGTCAGAACACTCTTGTTTTAGGTGTGAAACACCATGTAACATTTTCATTCAATAAACACAGAATCATAATGTGCAAAGTTATTTGGAGGGACATAACTGACTAAGTCTGGATTGATTCCTAACTCTCAGTAGGTTTCATTCTACTTAAGAGAGATGTATGTAAACAATATGAATTTGAATATGATAATTGCATAGGAAAATTAGAGAGTTCTTTTTTTGTTAGGGGGTCAGAAAAGGTATTTGTTGAAAAGATGACGTTTGAACTAAGTCTTGGAAAATTTCAGCTGATGGAAAGGGGAAATCAGTGCTAAGT